GCAAGGAGTAATGATTGAATCGCTAAAAGACTGTAATCAATATGACAACTGCTCTCATAAATACGTTAGAAATGTTTATTCTGCGATTGCAACATTTCCTTAATTAACTTACATATGATAAATACGGTTTGTGGTGCTGAGTTCCCCTTAGAACTACTTGTATCGTTCGCCGTCTTGCACTCGCCGCATTCGGCACATTATCACATACTTAAACGAATTTGTGGTTTGAGGTCAGTGTTGAAGAGGAAGGGTTGTCATATTGCGAGCGATATCATTAAGCAAACATTGAAATCCGTCCCGAAAATAGGCGTTTTGCAGACTACTTATTCATACATACATATGTATATATATGCAGTATATATGTATGTAAATATAATTATATACTAAGGAATATGAACGAGTCAACTTGGTGCTGAATAAACAAATGATTTGCAACAAAGCAAAAACCGCGGTGTGGAAATATGTATGTATACAATTATATACGTACATATATACTATATATATATATATATATTTATTTATTTATATGTATTTACATAACTATATACTCGTCCATACCTCTTATTAAGAAATCTTATTTCGTTTATGCATTAAAAATATCTCCCGAATTGTAGCGTCAGTACGTATTATATATGTATGTATATATATATGTGCGGCGAAAACGGTGGAAGCGTGGAAGCATGAATTTGATGAATTCAAATTAGTCGCTCGATCTCGTTTTCAATTTGCTACCAGGACATAATTAGCTTAAGAATAAACATGAACTAGCGCTGCGCGACGTGCTCCAGTCATGAAACGAACGCCTACAGTGGGTACAAATGAGCAATGTTATACTTATTATTATTGTTTTTTAGGGAGAAGACGAAGAGTTCAAAAAAAAAAAACCATGTTATAATATATTTGCATCAACACTAAGGGCAATTTTCTCAATGTCTGGTTAGCAACCGTTTGAAAGTTAAGTTCTGCTTATCTTCACCAAGACTCCTACCTTCGGTATGGTTAAACAGAACTTAATTGACAGATGATCCTCCCTTCGCGATGAGGGACTGATTAAGTCCAATGAGACTGATGATAGCATAACTAGCTTCGGTACTCAACTTTAACCTTATCGACTTGCGAGACCCTAATGGTAGCATAATAGCATGAGTACCGAAACTAAAACAATCCACAAATCCACAATCCTTCTGTGAGGTAAGTCGTAGCGTCTGTTCAAATTGTAGTGACGGCTACAACGGGCGTCTGTCTTGCAGCAAGCAAGTTTTTGACAAAATGTGATAAGAGTTTTGATCATATAGTTGCTGGAAGTAAGGCTTGAAACATTACCAAGATCTTGAAATTAAGAAAGGATAATATTAGCACAGTAGGCGAAACTTGAGAAGATTACTAAGCCCTTAAAAATAATTAAGATACTAATCAGTGACCTGAGGCTCTTACTTAAAACCACTTTATCTGCCGGAAAGATCATAAGCTTAGTGTCCATTTAGTGATGAAACAGGCAGTAAAGCATACTATGCTGCTCATGGCAGCAGAGGGGCATGATAAATGGAGGATAATTTCGTCTCAAATGAAGCCCTTAGAGGAAGATACACCACTGGGCCTTCTTTCAATAGATGCCGTTCCGAAGAGCATAAATTTCACAGAGAAGTGTATTGTTACTCACGGCAGTAACGCGGAATGGAATGATTACATTACATAGCCTAACACGGTTTAAAGATATGATCAACCTCACTCGAGACAAATTCCGTCTCCTTGTCACGCTCTATACTGGGCACTCAAGAAACACCTGTTTAACATGGGCATGACCTCTATTGCAAACTGCAGGTTTTGCGACATGGAACCGAAAACTGCAGAACACCTGATTCTAGATTGCCCGCCAATTTGTAGAAGCAGACTGAAGATCCTTGGATCCATCTACGTGGAAAGGATCACATCACTTCCATTGCGCCCAGCATGTTCTTGGAATTTGCACCATAGACCATAGATCGCGGTGCAAAACCACAATCCATATATATTTCTAAGAACCTAGGAAGAGCTTTTGACTAAGGGTTAATTTCTTGCTGAGACCAGTTCAACTGTATGGATTTTGTAGTTCAAAATGCGATTATAGAACCTTCTTATTGCCTCGGATTCTTCTTTGTGTAGGGCATATGTAATTGCCTAGCCTTTGAAACAAAGACCTATTAATTACAATTGAAAAAGATCGAGTGAAATAAGCAACGATATTACTGCTTTGTGGACAGATAATTTATCCATACAAATAATTTTCGACAGAGCTCCAATGAAATTTGGGCATATCTTTTCACGAAATAGACACTATGCAGCAGGCAGAGGCACATAGACCTTGCAGAATCATTGCAATAATACTGTGGCGCTTGATTGTTGTATTTACGCCGTGAGCTGCGGAAGCACCGAACGTAATAGCGACAACTATTCGGATTTGATGCGCCCATCAAGAGTCCAATAACGGTGGCCTTTGTGTTGTGTAATCGAGCTACCGATTAGGCAAATGAGACTGCCCATGGACTGGAAGGATGCAAAAGACGATGCAATGCTCACACAACCAACAGCGCCACGCAAATCGGCAACAGCACGCGGTATGTCGGAACGAACGGTGTGTTGGAAGCAGTCGACTTTTGTGCTGAACTTGACTCTTGGCTGACAGGTGAGTTTGGAATGAGTTGCGCGGCCTGAGAGCGCGCCGTTGAAGTGACTGTGAATTGGGCGCGTGAAATTGAAAGGAATTACCTCGCACAACCAGCGCAATCGAATGCAAGCAACGCGATCACGAACCATTTAACCCGCCGATGACTTCTGTTCGTACTTATTGCACTCACTCGTTCGTTTCATGTGGTGCGGAGGGCAGAGAGCAAGTAACAGTTTGTGCATTTGTTTGCTTTTTGTAAATTTGTTGTATAAAATTGATCGATTCGCTGATTGATTTTGTTCAGACCCTGCCGAGGTCTACCCTCTCCTTCGCTGATTATTGTTATCAACGTTATACATACATACATACGTCGGTATTCCATTTCCGAAGCGTGGAGCGTGAGCGCCATCGCGGTCGACTGTGCTGGGCGTTGTTAAATGTGTCCGTCCTTGTTTGCTCGCAATAATTTGGCATTAAGAATCGTGATGATTATTTCTGAATTCGCTACCGATGTTCTTCTGCGGTTTCACACTTTGGTCAGAAGCATACTTTTATTGCATCTGCATTTACCGATGCCAAGCGAAGACTACACACACACACACATTGATAATATTTTGTAGTTATGAACTCGTAATACAGGTGGTTTGCTTGCGGTGAGGTGAAGGTGCCAAGTTTGATTAGGTAGCAAGGTGATTGGATGTGAGTTCAATGAGCGGGCTAGAAATCGCCAACTCACACATTCAAATATTCCTACAAGTATAGAAGTTCAAATGGAAAGTTACAAAAAATGTGGTAGCGCTGACACCTTGACAGATGTTAGGTCGAGGTGATTCTTAAATTTGCACGGATTTTATCCAGCAAAATGTTAAAGTATTTATATCGAGTAATTTACCTAACTTCCTAAGAGAGTGATGAAGATTCCAAGGTATAGGCTCAACTGAATCTTCAAAAGCCTTCTTTACCAACTGGGCGAAGAATTTTGAATTCAATTCTTATATTAATCTAGATAACCTAAAAGTTCAATTGATTGGGATCCTCGGTGCTGACTGAGGTAACGTTGCCATCCATGTCCTTAAGTCCCTGCAAGAGCTCTTTCGTGGAGACTAGCACTCCCTCTTTTACGCCTGTCTTTTTCGTTGTATCCATAGTTGATTATAGCTTCAGCAGTTGCAGCCTGCTTAGCCGTACTGGCACCGAAGCGAGCGGCTATCTTGTCTACCGGCATTTTCTCATCCTTTCCGCTCTCTTCAAAAGCCTTGGGCTTGTAGGTTCTCAAAACTACCGAGTTGAACGGGTAGTAGGCGGAAGCCCTCTTTACGGAATCCTTAATTTTGCTATATACCACTAACCAAAACGTGGTATTAATTCGTTTTGGTTCCTAATAAGCCCTAGAGCCTAAGACGGAACGCTACTAGCATAGCAGCTTGGGAGAGATATTACATAGCCAGTTAGCACGTCTGTCATCCTTACAATCCACCTACAGCATACCGCCTTAAAGTACATGGAAGGATACTGGATACCCACACAACTTGTATACCTCTTCTATGAGAAGATCTTGCAAGCTCTTCTAACCCCAGAGTCTCCGCCAGGTTAACCCTCTGCCGGAGTTCGATCGCTTCTGTGCCATTGTTTGTGCACTTTTACGTTTCGCGGCATGCGTGTTCGGGACCGCCGTCTTTTCGCTTGAACGCCTCCCGTTCGGATTAGTGTTGACTGCTCCACGGCTCCGAGTCCCTCTACTACGTTTGCAAACAGATGCGGTATTTCTGTCCTTACACACTTTTGAAGCAGGAAAGCACTGCTGGCTCTGACCCTTCGTTCCTCCTGCCTGGCAATGCCGAGTCGGCCTCATCGTCTCCCTTCTTATTTCGTGCACTTCTTTCAGTACAAGCCCATTATGCCTTCCTCGAATCCGAGCAGTGGAGCCTGCTTGGAGACTTTAAGTAGTGTTGGCTACATTTCCAGCGTTTATTTCACTTACTGAGCGCCGTTGCATAAGGGCATGTCGTCGTCGTCCTCCCTGCCATGTTGTCCTCGGCTCAAAGCGCTGAGTGGTTGGGTCTACGTTTATATAGGAGAACTCAAAGGTCAACCGCTCCAGTGCTCCACGGAATCTCATTTGTATTATTTTCGATTTAAATCTACCCATTCGAAAACTTCTTCTATAGTTTTATTTATCGATATTTTTGTAAAGCTTGCATCACTAGTTGTAAAAGATCGTATTATTCTCTCTCGATATATTTAAAATATATGTATATTTACTTTTGCAAAACTTGTACCGTTACGTAAAATTTTTGATATCTTTTTTGTTTAATTTATTTTTAATAATTTCCATTTATTCATGACTTCCTAATAGCCATATCGTTGTGACCCTTTCCGAACGTAACCTAAACAGCTGCAATATTACTGTGAACACCACAGCGAATAAGAGGAAGCGAGCACAAAACGTTTTAAAAACACAAGAAAATACCACTATCAAAAGAAAACATCTCGATACGGTAAATAAAATCAACGAATAATTTAAACCAAGTAGTAAATAGTTGAACAAAATGACTACAGCTGCACGACCAACTTTTGATCCCGCACGTGGAGGCAGCGGACGTGGCGAAAAGGATTTAAGTGCTCTCTCTAAACAATATTCCAGCAGAGATCTACCAGGCCATACAAAACTCAAATACAGGTATTTGCGTATATAAAATACTAATAAACATAATTTTGACAACAATTTTTACTATTTAATTATAGAGAAACTGGTCAAGGCACCTCAGATGAGCTACGCAACCGTGATTTCCGCAAAGAATTAGAGGAGCGTGAACGTGAAGCACGTCCAAGCAAAGCTTTGCCATCAATTGTGCGTAAAGCAATCGAAGCGAACAATTCTGCAAATAGTGGTGCCAGTGGGCCAAAGCGAGCACGGGTAGAACAACCAACAGCACCTGTGAATTTAGATGCTGACGATCCGATAGACAAAGACAGTTCCGAGGAGGATTCCGATTCGGATGAAGAAGATGACACCGCCGCATTGTTGGCAGAATTAAATAAAATTAAACAAGAACGTTTACAGGATGAAGCGCGTAAAGATCAAGAAAAGAAACAGGAAGAGGAGCGTATACGAATGGAGAACATTTTATCTGGCAATCCGTTGATCAATTATGCCTCAGGTACTGGCGCAACAGCGAGTAAAAATTTGGGCAGTGATTTGAAGGTGAAACGACGTTGGGATGATGATGTGGTTTTTAAGAATTGTGCTCGCTCTGAACCGGAAAAGAAGACACATTTCATCAACGACTCGCTGCGCAATGAATTTCACAAGAAGTTTATGGATAAATATATTAAGTGATTTTTAATTATACAATTTTCGATACTAACAAAGTAATATAGCATTTTAAGCAAGTTCCAATATCTACTCTCTGTTAGTGATTAAAATAAATAATAAATATGTGTAAAAGCATTTCGAAATTATATGTATTCAGTATTCCAATCAATCAATGAAATTATTTTTTTTAAATTTAAATAATCCTCAGAATATTGTTAATAAGAAATAAACATAAGGCACACCCTGTTTCAGTATTTCGTTCTGTACTTGGTGCAGAGAACGTATATTTATAGAGAAGGTTCACGATATCAAAAATTTAGGGATATTTCAATTTTGGGATATTTACTGTTTTGGATGAGTGCATTTCACCACAAAAAATTATTAGCGCGTTTCACCACTTAACATCAGGGGACACGAAAATAGCAGAATTGAGCATTTTCAGTGTGAAATGAGAAAACTTATGCTATTTNCATTGAATGCTCAGCTCTGTTCACGCTCCACTGTTAAGATTTCTCCTTCTTAGCTAGCTGTGGTGAAATGCACTCATCGCATTTTGTTAGCTTTTGACAGTTTACACGCCTGTCCGTTGTTGGACCTTCTCTATAAATATACGTTCTCTGCTTGAATATTTGACATTCTGTTGACAACTCAAACAAAAATATTCGCACAGCTGATATCAATTGTTTTTGCGCAGTTCTCCAGATTGTCTAATTGGAAAGTTTTCATAGAAAAGTTAAAATTTTTTATTAAAATGAAAGCAATCAACTTATTTCTATAGTTTTAAACATATGAAGTATATAAATTGTGAAAAAATATTATTTACCTACTATAAGTTTGCGTCATCAGTCCAATAGACAAGGTAAAAACACAGAGAAAACATCAGTTGTACCCGGGTAGGGGCGCCACCACCCAATACGCAGTGGAGCTCAGGGGAGAGCGATCCGCTTACGTTGCAAATAATCAGAAGAGAAAAAGACTTTGGACAGTGCAGTTCAAATTAATTTTTCACAATATTTTGCAAAATATCATCATCGGAATTTTTTTTTAATTATACCAAAAAATATAAATATATATTATAAAATATTGGCAGATATGTGTATAATGTAACTAGTGTTAATAAATGCCGATAAGCGCATACATGCTTAATAAAATTAACAGTGTCTATTGTTTGTGTGCGAAATATGCAATTATTGAAAGAGTAAAATGTATTGCACAACAACAAACAAATAAAAAAGATATGCATATGTGGTATATACATTAGGTGCAAGTAAAATTAAACAAAGCTAAAAGAGAGCTCTGGTTAAACGAGTGTGCTGGTGATTGGATGGTCACTGAATTCATATATTAACCATCCAATAAAATTTATTGAATAAATTGAAAACAAATATTCTGATAAGAGTGCAAAAGGCCAATTAAGCTGTGAATCATTTCTACTTTAATAAATCCTCGCGAGATATCTTTGTACTACTAATACTATATATTTGTACTAATTAAAATCGCAGTGTATTAGTGAAAGCCTAAAGTTTGCTCAACACCTGTGTGTTTTAGGAATAAATAATAGCAGGCAACCACTAAACTGGAGAAGTGGAAGAGAACGCGGAGCTCGACGAAGAAAATGGACCGCCATAGCAAAGGGAATGGGAGCGGAGGCGATGGTGGAACGCCTGACAAGCCATCTATTTTGGAAGGTAATAAAGACCTATAACGCTACAATTTTTATTGTGTTTATTTTAGGACACATTTCACACATATTATAGCCACGCTATATATTTATTTGAGTAACAATTTGCTTCAAAAAGGGGGTGTTGTATGTTATTACTGTTCCTCATCATTTTTAATCAACTCAAACATCTATTTGTGGGTGTTTGGTAAAAATGTTGTTGCATAGAACATGTAATCAGTATTTATATATTGTATGTACATATGTATGCATATATATATTTTGAAGTTGGTAAGCTTCTTGGGTAAGTATACAATAATTATTACTATTTTTGAGTTTTGCGATTAAAAAAAATTGTTTGAGTACGAAATATGTTTATTATTTCTTCTTTTTTATAAATTACAAATTACTTATTAATTTCTGGTTATTAAGTAACTAACCTCAATAATTAAAAAAAAATAATTAAATGCATAGCCATACCGATTTTTTCATTGCTCAAATAAAATAAATTTTTTACACATTTTTTCGTAAGTTACAATGGAATATGTTAATTCTCCATGCAAAAAAAAAAACAAATATTGTGTATGTAAATAAATGCAGACAAAATGTAACTACTATTTATGACTGTGTCTGCAACAGCAAAACAGAGTTGGGCGCAACTTTTCCGTGACTCATTTCGAAAAAAATGTTGATTATTTACTTTTTGCATTACACAAACGCAAGTTACTCATTTATTTATTTTTTCATCCTTATTTTCTATTATAAGCCAACAGCAACTTCTGGTTTTTCCCCTAACCCCAAATAGTTTCCGATTGCAGTTTAATTACATTTTTATACCCTATACAGGGTATATTCAGTTTGCCACGGACATTTTATTATATTCATACTATTCATATAAACCCCTATGATTATTTTGCAGAAAACTTGAATTTTGAAATCGCGACGTATTTTCTAGCATTGGCCAAAATTCGAAAAAAATTAAATTTCTTACCTCACTAATGTAGTATGCCTCCGGTTGATTGGGTAATTAAATTGTGTGCGTGTATTAACACGCAAATTATTGGCTGTCATTCAAATGCCGGCAGGCAGGTCGCCTCGGCTATCTCTCATCGTGTGTACCACAATTTCCGCAGATTTTCCGCCACATTCATGCTCAGCTTGTATTTTAACGCAGAAAAATAGGTGGATTTTATTGATCCACTGTCGTGTCGCAATTTAGTAAAGCCATAATAAGCATGTCTTATCTGTTTGTGCTGTTGTTGTTGTTGTTGTTACCGTTGGTGCGTATTTTAATGCACAACCGGGCCGGTTTATCTGTATGTAACCTGTTGAGCTTCATTAAAATTGCTTCTGGCTTATTTATGTACATACTTAATAGGTAATATGTGTAGGTGTATATATGTATATACAAGGTCTGTTGTTTTAACCGTAGGTGGTGGAGTCAATATGTTGATTGTTTATCCTCAAGTTAGTGGGTAATTTATTTATGCAAGACTTATCACTCCAGAGAGATTGTTCTATTTTTAAGCGATAGATAGCCATATACTCACCTATTTACTTGCATACATATTCGTTTAAGTGCACAGGTATATAAAACTTATATAATAGGTAATGTGTTTTAAATTTATGGTGCTTTGCATTAGTGTGAGTGTGTGAATGGTTTAATTTAGATTATATTGGAAAATGAAAAATAAGGTGTGCCCCGCCGGTTTCGGTCCTATCTTTCTTATGCAAGCTTGCAGAGCGGGCAAGCTCAACAGCCAGTTCATTCCCGGCTATACCCTTGTGACCAGACACCCAAATATGGTTACTTTCAGTAAGGCTATTCAGCATTACACTCGTTTAACTTTGTGTAATCAGATCCCGAAACTTGAATTATTTCCCTCGAAAAAGTCGTTGAAAGTCGACTTGAATTTATCACTTCTGAGATATATTTGTCAGGTAATATTCGAATTAATAACATTTTTTCTAATTTTAATGATTTCTAAAACCACTCTGGGTAAACTTAAAAAAAAAAAAAAAAAAAAAAATTTTTCGGAATTCGCCATTTTTTGGATTCAGGCAGAAAAATCTTTCGGGAGACACCTTTGTTCGGAGCCAAATTGACAGTGCTTGGGCGGATAAAAATCCGGTTTCTAGAGGTCAGCTTCTTCAAAAAAAACAAGGAACGAAAAAATCCCGTTTTTCTGACTTACAAGTAGACATAACCTCTTAAGAAATGTACATATGTACATACATATATATATTTGTATTAGCATATTTAGTGGGTAATATTCAAAAATATCCCCCACAAGCCAGATGGGTACTCTTTAAACCGGAACGGACTTAAATTTTTGTCTGGCCAAGTATAGGAAAATTGAAAAATATCTTAAATATATATAACAAAAACAACAACGGTACTCTACCAGCACTCTCCGAAATTCTCCTTTCCTCCCGGCATGGAACCACGTATCTCCCCCACTAAATTCACAAACTGAACGAAGAAGTACAGACTTGACCTTACTATTGCAGTCGACGGCGTTAAAATTATGACTGCCAATAACCTTGACTTTTTAGGTTGGGTTGGAAATTTGGGGCAGCCGCACCAATATGGTCGCCTGAATGTAGTTAAACGCAGACGAGGAAGCTTCAGATATGCCAGAACACAGCAATCCGGACTATAACGGGATGGCTTTTGATGTCTGCTGTCGAGCATCTACACAGTGAAGCCTGTATGCTCCCAATTAAGGTGTCCTTTCTTTCTGCTGCGGTGTTTTTGAAGAAACCATTCCTGCAGTCACCTGAAGCGGAACCGCCTAAGGTCTAAGAGCATCAAGAGGTACTACGACGACGGCATAAGACAATTCACCGACTAGACTGTGGACGCAGCTAACTTTATCACCTTGGAGTCAAACTACTATCCATTGTAGACGAAGAGTTCCAGTTGCCACGTGAATCAATAGCGACCCTTGCTCAGCTTCGTTCTGGATACTATAGCAGGCTAAATTCCTACTTATCGACCCCTACAAATATATGTATGCCCAGCATGCAACGAATCCCCGCATGATTCTAACCACCTCTTTGCTTGCCCAGCTAACCCCATACATCTCACACCCCTCTCCCTATGGTCCGACCTCGGTGAAACAGCACGTTGCCTGGGCTTATCGTTGAATACCTTGATGACAACTTATCTGTACCTTACCACCCTAACGAGGACTAAGCTTACTTAGCTAACTTGGCCATAAGCTTATCTTTATTACACACAGAAACACCTGGCACCTGCTTTTCTTTTTTCGTCAGCATTTAGATGCATTGAAATAGTAAAAATGGTAGAAAATATTTCAATAAGCACTAGCCGTATTATGACATTCATGTGCAATCTCTACTTAGTATACATATGTAGAATAGGTATGTAGCAAGATATCCAGGCATGTAGAGTGCAAAGTGTGCATGCACTTGTATGAATGCGAAATAATGAGTACACATTCCCATGGTG